GAGGAGGAGGAGGAGGAGGAGGAGGAGGAGGAGGAGTTCTGTAGTGGAACGGTTATGTGCTTTGCATGCAGAGGACCTGAGTTCAATTCCCATGTGGAGATAAATTGTATCGAATGTCTCGGTTTTTCAGCTGGAATGTTGTATCCGGGTTGGTTTTCAAAAGCAGAATAAGAAGTCTGCCTGCCGAGCGATCTAAATTGTGTCAATGGGGGCGTAAAACACCAATGATAAAAACATTTTTTTTAAACCATTCACGCCTCGGGAAAAACTACACCATTCTCAAACTAGAAAATTATAGCCTTAGAACGGTTCATGGCGTCTGTCATAAATCTCTTGTCACATATTTTTTAGGCAATCACACGGGTGACACATGCATTTAGAGCGCTTAGTTGGACAACTGCAAATATATATCATATTCATATTACGGATCACTGTTTAACTCCGAAACATAAAAATAGTTCTTATCCATACTGGAAGACAGGAAATAAATAACTGCAACCTCGATTTTGACAAGCAATTTGCCTGATTCATACATACAAGCCTAAAAATATGTCTCAAAGGTATTCAATGCTTCGTCAAAAGCGCCCGTTACGTCCCGATAGTTCCGTGTGCTATGGGAGAGACTCTATTAATTGTTAGCAATTCACTACTTACGAGAGCCGCATAGCTATATATAGCTAAACCTCTGCTTTCTTCTAGGTGCAGTAAATGTGGTTTATAGCTCTCTGCAGCTCGGAGTATAATATGTATTTTTATTTTATATTACTGCCCGTTTAGGACAGATAGTTTTACACCTGGGTTGCAGCCATTTGAAGCTTTTTCATTTCGTTTTTTTTTTTTTTTTTAGTGTAGTTGTTTTGGGCCTCAATCGATACAGTTTAGATCATTTACGAGACAGTCTTCGATTCTGTATATCATCAAAATGGGGTAAGACGCCTTATCACGGAACGACGGAGACAGTCGATATAAATTCTGTCCGCACGAGAATCGAACTCAGATCTTCTGCATGGAACGGCGAAAGGCCTGCTCGATACACCCCAGACGCCGGTGTGAGGCAAAAAAGGACCCAAACATAATATATTGCGACTATTTAATTTCGATGCATAGGAAAAGATTATGTACGTAAGCCAGGAAAACGAAACATAAATTTTGTACTAGGAGTTGAACAAGAGAAGTACCCCCCCCCCCTCCCCCCCCCCTTCCTGAAAAAAGAAATGAATAAATAATTTCTGCACCTCCATTCCACACAAAAAATGAGAATGAGACCGTTCTGTGAGGTGGACATCAGCTAGAGGAAAAGGCGAACGAGATGGGAAAGAGAGAGACGGGAGAGAGAGAGAGAGAGAGAGAGAGAGAGAGAGAGAGAGAGAGAGAGAGAGAGAGAGAGACAGAGAGAGGGAGAGAGAGAGAGAGAGAGAGAGAGAGAGAGAGAGAGAGAGAGAGAGAGAGAGCTTAATATTGTCGGTACAATGTGTTAAAAGAATGAAACTGGGATTTTTGTCCACTCTCCTGTGAAATAATATTTCATTGGCATAGTTCTTTTTAACAGCTTGCAAACGAATTGTGTCTACTCAGACGTTGAACACATAGAGAAAAGCAAAATACTTTATCCTACCACAACCAACCTGTTGGCTTTTTTTTCGTCTGTCTATGTGCACCACTATAAAATGTGTCACACCGCGGTGGAATGGTGAGCTCGTCAATTTTTCGGCATTTGGAGTAATAGGTAGCATCTTCAGGCTTGTTCATTGCTTTCTTTTTAAAAGATACCCATCCATCTTGAATAGTAGTCGAGATATTTGCCATTGGAGGAGGTTGGAGTTGCGTGTTTCAGGTATATGAAATAAGTTTTGCTTCTTCCATAGCTTGAGAATCATTCGAAACCGAAAATGTACAGTTTGGAGCCTTTAATCAACGTTTTCAGTAAAATCCTCACAAAAATGTGTTTTAAATGGACATAAAAGGTGTAGAGACAATAAAAGAACCCTAAAATTCGGACAAAATTACCAAACTGGCAAACAAATGCCGGTTCTTGTCTTCCATTATTTTGACGAGCACCTGATTTCACCACGATGCCCATAAAATTAATACAAGTAATGAAGCCGCCTGCAGAATCATACTCGGAGGAACCCGATCGCGAACGCCGACCACAAACGTGTTTCTTGTGTCACAAGTAATCCACGTATTAGTATTAGCTAAAAGAGCGCAGGCTTCAAAAGAGATGAATATAAAAGTATTATCTTTTTTAAGCTGGATGACGAGAAAGACTTTTATGTTCCTGATCAACGCTAATTATTGTTTTCTTAAAGACCATACCATTAGCATTTTTTTCTTCTCTTTTTGGTGGTGGTTGGGGGGTGGGGGTGTCAAACGCATAGATCTACCTTGTATTTTCAAATGCCATTGTGAAAAAACAACAACGCCACATTAAAACTTCAAATGTACAACAGGCTGCTCTTCTTTCTGCATTTTCAATATATTATATACATATATATATAATATATATAAATATATATTTGGCAACTTGGGAACACATGTGTCACTTTTCCCGTAAAACTACGACAGCTACAGAGTTGACAGTTGGCAAATACCTGCAAAAAGATAGATAGGTCCCCATTACAGAGCCCGATTTTTTATTTATTCATTTCCTGAATTTAGAAAAATATATTTGACAAAAAGTTCCCGTCCTTCTTTGGCCTTTGTGATTATTCCACTGAGAAACGAAACAAATCTGAGTATCTGTCCTTCACGACGGAAGTGCCGGAAGTGATATTTCGCGAGGCGCATTTTGTTTTGAGAGAATAGATTTAGATCTAGATCTAGACCTTGTAATTTTTTGCACCTCTCAAAATGTATTGCTCCTTTCAAGTAGAATGTAAATATTCCATGACTTTCAGTTGATGTTAATGCACCGATCATTCCTTCCATCGAAAGGAGGCCCTGCTAATTTCAAATAATATGGCATCGTTATAAAATTCAGACACCACATTGTGACTTCAAAACTTCAAATTTCCTCTACCCTATTGTTCGTCTCTAAACATTTCTTTCGGGAGGACATCATCATGTTATAGAAAAACAAACACAAGAGGAGATCCACAGATTCAGACTCTTGCAAAACTGTCGCAATGTCAGTCCAATATTCAAACAATAGCAGAGAAGACAAAGAACCTCTTTGTCAATCACTTAAGTAAGAGAAAGATGGGGATTACATGGATCTGGCACGCTTCACCTGTACAAGTATTGGAGCATCCTCCATGGGTATGGGGTGGAGGGGTTATTTGTTGTTGTTTTGTTGAGGGGGGGGGTTTCCGGGGGGGGGTTGTGTTGTTGTTTTTTTGTTTCGCTTTATTTTTAGTTTTGTTTAGTTTCGTTTTATATTATTTTGTTTTGTTTTGTTTTCATTGGACGGTTTTAATTAAATAAATTTTCAGAGAGCTAAACGTTTGTTTACCTTAGATTTTATCGGCTTTACTCTATGTTTGCCTCTTGTCCCCTCTTTACTTATTTGTATCCCACTCAGTCTAGGTCGGCTTCTAAATGGTGAAAATTGTGTCGACGGGGGTGTGAAAAGGTGTCTCGTTCACCTTTAGAGATCACTTTAAGTCTTATAAATCTTTAAAAAATAACGTGGGAATAATTTATTTTGGTACACGGTGTCAGTCGAGCTTTTCTAATCATGAGGATTGCATCACGTGACATCGAGCACGACATACTACCTTAGACCGGACTAAGGACTTAGCTTTCTCAGCACTCCGCCTTAATGGCGGGATTATCTTGGGATCATTCTCGTTTTCCGAAAGCAGTGCACGAGGAAACTGCAGGTTACACTAAACTAATAGATTTCTTTACAGTGTGCCAGTGTTGTTGGTCATTTTTGAAATGTGACATCATCATTCCAAATAAAAATACATTAAAACGTGTCTAAAACTGTTATACATAGTCGAGGCTTTTCGTTTTCATCAGACGTTGGCTATTGTTTTCTTGAAGACTTCCTTTTTAAAGAAGTTTTGTGTTTTCTTTTTCTTGCGGGGTTTTTTTTTTTTTTGCTTTTTTTTTTTGCTTTGCTTTTTTGTGATTGCCGCTGTTTTGTTGTTGTTGGTTTCGATCAAAGTCACAACTTGTACTTCATTTGAAATTGAAAATTGTACGCATATGACGTCATAAATCATGCCTGTTGTACATAATTTGAGGTTATAATGTGGCATTTTGTCTTATAATGTAGCCGTATTAGATAAGTGGCAGTATCACAGAGCGTCATTATGGATTTTTTTTAAAATACACATGAGGAAATTGGAAGTGGCTGTTTGTACAGAAGATTGTCTTATGGAGGTGACCGTTAGTGAAGGAGTGTTATATACTTACGTTTTACTTTTTTTTCTGCTGCTGATACAGGTGGGTGTGGCGGTGAGAAACAATCTCTATCAACTGCGAGTGAACTAGCCAGGGCTTGGAGGAGGGCAAAGTGGAGGCCTCCAGGGATGTCCTTTACGGAGTCGATCCATCGAGGTTGTGGTCTCCGTATGTCTTATATCATCACTCACCATCATTTCTAAAATCATCATTGCTCTCAGATCCTTGACATACATAGTATATATTCCTTGAATCTTTATATGTAACAGTTACATGTTATCATAAGTATACATAATTCACTATTGGGCATTGTCATACGCACTTTTTTCATCTAATAAGATATCGTCAACCTTATATCTTACAGGCAAATGACAAAAAAGCAGCCTCCCTCTCTTTATCAGTCCAGAATGTATTGCATCAAAATCATTCTTCTGGGAAGTAAGCTGATAGCTTATAACTAATATTCATATTGCCACTAGAAGAGTTGGGCAAAGCAGCTAACCCTCTAAAAGGAATAGATT